ACCATTCACATTTACCACACTCCCCACCTGTGCTCTGTTCTCTCATCATTTATCTTAAAAACAAAATAAACATGCCCAGAGTGTATATGGTATCAAAACTCTGCTCAACATGTTTAAGGAAAAAGGAAGAGCTTGTTAAATTCTTTTATTTCAATTATGACATTTCTTTTGGTCTGATAAACCAAGACCACATGCTAATTAGGGTCTATATGCAAAATAACTTGCTTACTGGAAATACCACTGCCTTTTCTACTTTTCCTGTCTGAGTGGTAGCTGTGGGAAAGAACTCCACATTAAGTGAATGGTCCCAGTTGCTAGGGTCTGTGAGGAAATGCTTGGTCAGGCAGTTAGTTGGTTTGTGTCTGCTTGGTCTGGTTAGCATGGTATATGTTATCCCATTCTGATAGCAGAGTCAGAGGTAGGAAAACTAAAATGGCAATTAAGAAATTTGATCTTTGGTTTTCTTTTTACATAAAGAGGTTGATTTGATGAATTCTAAACAGGCAAACCTCCTGCTTTAAAATGTATCAAAAAAGCATATTCAAAAAGATTATAACAGTCATATTTTATTATAAATGTAACAGAAATGATAAGAAATATATGATAATCTTCCTTTTTGAAAAGCAGTTTAAAATTGTAAATAATTCTTGGTAGAATAGAAAATAACAAGCCATTAAAATTTAATGACATTTATTCTTAAATAAATTATGATCCTAAGTGACACAATTTTATTCTCTAAAAGACTGTTTGGTGGCAATGAGCTTATGTGCCTATTAGATTTTGTCATCACACAGTTACTGATTTTCTAATACTATATATTTGTATTCTTCCCACTTTCCTTTATCCCATTTCTTTTAGGTTTAGTCAGTCTGTGCTGCTATAATGAAAATACTGTAGATTAAGTGATTTAAGTGGCAGATATATTCCTGAGTCCTGATACCAAGAATATTAAGGTCAAGAAGCTGGTCTGCAGATATAGCTCAGTTAGTGAAGTGTTTTATAGTACATGTGAAGTAAGTGCCATCTGCTAGCACCCAATTTGCCTGACATGGTGGCACACCTACATCCCAGCACCCAGGGGGTGAAGGCAGAAGAATCCTAAATTGGAGGTCATCCTCAGCTCCAAAGCAAGTTTGAGGCTAGTCTGAGCTATATGAGATCCTGTCTCAAAAATGAAACAACCACCAAAACCCAAAGCTCCAAGCAGCCTTGTATTCAGTTCCCTTCCTAGTGGGCAGACAGTCATTTGCTCACAAGGGTGCAGGACAGCAGTCATCTCTCTGTGCTGCTTTTTTAAGACAGCAGACTATTCTGGAAAGCTCTGCACACACACCCCCAAAGACTCCCCAAAGACCCATCTTCAAAGAGCTTTGCACTGGGGTTCCCAGTTCATCGTAGGAATTCTGTGGCAATGCAAACACCCAAAGCACATGTTGACGTGCAGAGAGAACTTTGCCTTAGTTTCCCTGTTGGAATGCAAGCCAGGTCATCATGTGTTATGGAGAACCTCATCCCATACAGGGGGACCAGTTGGGAAACTGGAAGGGTCATCATCCAGATCTGCAGTCACTTAGAGCTGCAGGCTTGGTCAAGTAAGGATGATGTCATATGGCTTCCAGGGAAGACAGAATAAAGTATTTTTTTTTGAGCATTCATTGGTACTTGACATTTGGTGCAGAGAACATTCTCTCTGTTCCAAATTAGAGAACTGATACACAGAACATTTTTCCAGAAAATTATTTCTCAGATTGATAATAACTTTGTGAGCCTTGAGGAGCCCAGAGAGAGCAGTGAGCTTTATCTGCTTTGTTCACTGACAAACCCAACCACCTAAGACTGTGCCCTGTGAGTGCTCAGTGAGTTTCTTGTCAAAGGAGGGGTTTCATCACTGCGTTCTCACATTAGTGCACACTTCTCTTTTGTCCCGCGGTTGACTTGTAATGCCTCATAACAGTGAGTACCACTGTTTGTCAGTGTATTTCTTCCTTAACCACAGTTTTCTTTTACTCTGGAAAATGTGGTCATTTTCTCCAGCTGCTTGAGAAAGGTAGCTTGTGCCTTAGGAGCAGATGCCTTTTTCCTCCGCTTGTCTAGCATGCTAATCTTTGTACTTAAAGGAAAAGCAGAAAGGACGTATCCAAGAATCACGGATCCCTTGTTTTGTAAAGAATTTTAAAAATCATCTGTTCCAACTTCTTCATTTTAAGATTAAGGAAACTGTAGCGCCCAGAGCTTATAGCTCAAGGCCACCTTACTATTTAGTTATTCTACAAATACTAGCATCCAAGCTCTTGACTCGCACACTTTTTTTTTCACATACATTATAAATAACTTTTCCCAGGGATTTGATTCCCTACTTAAATCAAAAACTAAAATGAAACAAAACAGACTGCCTCAAATATTAAGAATAAGCTTATTTGCGGGACTAAGGAATCTTTGAAGAACATGTTTGTCCTAAATTAAGAATGCAGCAAGTGCCAACATGTCTACGAACATGGGTAACTCATGTTACTACTGGCCTAGATCAGTATTTTACCAGAGCTTACTTTAACTGACTTCCTAATGGTCAAGTAGGGGCTGGTATAGAATTCTCTCAAGGGATCCAGTGCAAACAATGCTGTGTTTACATATGCTAACTTAGTAGACAGTTAAGACTTAGTTATCCAGCTATGTTAGAGTTAGGATTGGTCTGAACATTTAGACTTTATGCCAACATTAATGTTTTAAAGAATACTTCCACCAAAGCATTCTTTATAATTTAGGTAGAAATAGTTCTAAGAATGCAATGAGCTAGATTTTTTGTCATGTCTGCTTTGTTAAGATACTTAGATTTGTGGCTCCTGCCACCTGCCCCCTTTCCTTCCCTCTTCCTTCTCTCCTGTCCTTCTGCCTTTTACCAAAACCCAAGGTAATTTTTTGGAGGAAAGCATATAAGTAAATAAGCTGTCTTACCAGAATCTCTATCTCCCAATATTATTTTGCATGGACCTGTACGTCCCAAGCCACCACATAAAGCGATGCTCCCTCACAGCAGCCTTGAGTAACTTATGTGAGACAGGTAGAAGTGTACGCTGTAGCCTTTTCACATTAGGTGAGCATAGCAATCACACGTGCAGTTCAGATAAGGCACTAAATAGTTACTTATCCCAGCATTTGGCATTTAGTGATATTTTTCACCTTTTTTGGTCTGTATTCCACTTCCAACTGATTTTATAGTAGATAGGAATTATTGGTAAGCTACATTTATTTCTCCATATTTCAGTAAATTGATAATATGCTTTGAATTTGTGACTATATCATGAAACATCACTTTAAAGGCAACTATTATAAAACTAATTACATAGTACCTAATGAGTAAATTGAGAAGTGAATCCAGAATTGAATTGTAATAGTGTAAGTAAAATTGGATGATTTAGAAAAGAAAGAAGAGAATGAAGCCTGGATATTGGAATAAGCTTCTAGCTGGCAATATGTAGTTACTTATCAAGTCATTTTAGAAAACTTTCTCCAGTGAAGAGCAGAGCTACCTCTGGTCATGTCCATGTAAGCTAAACCTTTTTATAATCAACTTTGTTAAAACAGGCACGTCTACTTAAGTTCTAGGAGCTGGAAGTAACTCTATTACCTGAACAACCCACTACTTCTGCCCCATAAAATGGTCTCTTGGGAGCACAGTGACACATAAGAGCACAGAGAGCGAAAGCAAGCTGCCTGTTCATTGTAAACTTCATTTTGTTGGCTTCTTAGAAACAAATCTGCATGGCAGAAATTTCTTGAGATTTTATTGCTGCAGACCAAATTTCATATATGAAAGATATAAATGCAGAATTCAGTTATGTAAAATGTTGTAAACTTGATGTGCAAAGTTTTTTATCTACTTTCTATCTATGAAAGTGATTCTTAGTATACATTAAACTATTCTTTAGATTTTAATTAATATTCAGCCCATTAGAAAGAAGTACTTGCTTATTTTATATGTAAAGGATATTATGTTTAAGTAACTTTATTAATATATAAATCAGCAAAATTAAAATTATTCTGCTAGTTATATTAAAAAGTGTAATAAAATAGAAATTTTGAATAATTTAATGACCTTCTAGAAATGAACACCCAAGTCTTAAGTAGTCAAGTAATGGACACTTACCTGTAGGCACTGACTGCAAAGACATTTCCAGATATTCAGATTTAACCCAACTTAAAGGAACTTTTGTTTCATTCAACAACATAAATTAACATGACTTTTAAAAGAAGACCATTTCCCTTTTGTTTAATGTAAATAATTCAAAATAAATGACAATAAGCTGGGCGTTGGTAGCTCATGCCTTTAATCTCAGAGGCAGGTGGATCTCTGTGATTTCGAGGACAGCCTGGTCTATAGAGCGAGTTCCAGAACAGCCTCCAAAACAATTCAGAAAAACCCTGTCTCGAAACAAACAAACAAACAAAAATACGACAATAAAAATATAGAAAGGAGTTTACCTTTAAAGTTTATAGTTAATCTTACAACAAACTCATGATGGGAAAAAGTCAACAATGTAGATGGCCCTTAGAAAACAAACTTCTTTGCAATCTAATGCAGAGATGAAATTTGAAAACTTTAAATTTTTTAATGAAAACATAATAACTTTATTTACTCAAAAGTATACATTCAGAACTTTTCTTGTATAGTGCAATAACCATCAAACCTCCTCTTTAAATAGTTATTGGTTCTTTTTCTTGTATTTGGGAATTAGGTATCATTATTTTGGAAATTCATATTTTAATTGCTGTAGTTAATCAACTTTGATGTTTTCACATTTCCTTTGGAAAATTTCCAGATATTCTACAAAACAAAAAGCAGGATGACACTTTCCTTAGAAGCTTTTATTCTGCTGAAAACAGCCACATAGGAAAATGAATTATTGTATGATTTGTATTAATTCTGAATTTTTCAAGTAGTTTGTTTTAGATTTGTATTTTACATTGTTCTGATTTTTGGTTTGTTTGTTTGTCTTCACTAGCCTTTTATGTCACCTCGGTACCCTGGAGGCCCAAGGCCCCCACTGAGGATACCTAATCAGGTAAGATGATGTTCTGCTGAAAGTTTTTTAAAAGATCTTAGAAGTATCCGAATATAACATTGTCTATTTCTGGTAATGTGTATTTACTTGAAGACCACATAGCCAGACTTTGTGCTGACTGGCTTTCTGAGAAGTTTTATTGGAACACAGAAACACATACATCTTCATGCTTTGTCTGTGACTATTTACACACCTTTATAGATTTGAGGAGTCATAGATGTATGATTTTCAGCCCTGCAGTATTTACTGTCTACATATTTCCAGAAAATGATTGGCTGACTTGTGGAGATAATTTTTCTAAATGTTGATCATCCTCTCAGTGAAATTTTCTATAACATACATTGGCTCATTTTCTATGGTATAAAATTAATATACATTGTGCCTTGCTATAATAGCATGACAGCAAGTAATTAGCTATACCTTGAAGGGCTAAGTCCAAATAGTTAATAATAAATCTTCCAGCTTTATTATTTCAAGAGTTTTAAGTTTCTAAATACTTCATTTTGATGTGGGTTAAAATAATAAGTTCTTACTAAAAAGAATAAAGCACTTTTATTTGTAAAGAACTTACAGTTTAGTTTTAGGATGTGAGTGGTGTGCATACTTGTATTTAGTAAAAGAAGAAATTAAATGCTTAACAATGTGTCATTTTCTCAGTCATAGGTATAGTTAAGTTTTACCCCAAATAAAATAAAAATCATTTTAAGCTTTCCTTTCCATTCTTCTCTTTTTATTTCTATATTTTTCACAATTAAAAATGGAACAAGAAAGTTGCAGTTATTAATCACTTGCAGAACAGAATTTTGGTTCTCTTATCCAAATTATTTGAAAGTATGCTGAGTCAGGCAGTGGTAGTGCACATCTTTAATTCCAGTACTAGCAAGGCAGAGGCAGGCAGGTTTTTGTGTGTTTGAGGCCAGCCTGGATTACAGAGTGAGTTCCATGGCAACCAGAGCTATATAGAGACTGACTAGACTGTCTCAAAAACACCAAAATGGAGGGAGGTAAGGAGGGAGGGAGAGAGGGAGGGAGGGAGGGACGGAGGGACAGAGGGAGGGAGGGGAGAAATGTGCTCTATCTTTGAAGGTTCCAGTTCGCTGGCATTCTCTGTGTCTGGTGCACAGCTGGAATTGGCAGCACCCAGGTTCACCTCCAGAGGGAAGGAAGCTTCAGGAGAAGCCAGCACTGGCTTGTCCAATGATTCTGGCTTAGCAGTCCTCCTATCAACAGCAAGAGTGTTTTCACTTGCAGGTTTAATGTGCATTCAGTTTCTTGGATCAGAGAGCATGCCATGAAATAGCATAAAAAAGTTCACAGATGCCAAGAGTACTAACAACATGTAGGAATCTTATTTTTCTGTGTACATACATACATACATACATCAGCAGATACTTACATGGGGTGTTAGCCATGTATACCTTCTGTTAGAGTCTTCATGGTGTTTCAAACATGCCATCCCTAGCATTCTATTTTGCATAGATCAAAAAGAGTTCTGAACATTTGAATTAGGAAACTATGAAATTCCAGTATTACTATTCTGTAGTAATGATGAGAATATGATATGATTATTAGAATTATATTTACTTGATACCATTTCATTGTCATGTATAAGATACTATGGGGTAAGCATGAAGACTGTAGTTTGAATTCCCAAAGCTCATCTAAAAGCTGGATTTGATGGTGGGTCTGACACTTTGGAAGTAGAGATAAGGAATCATCAAGACAAGCTGGCTAGAGAGACTAGTTGACTCCATTTGGCTAAGTCTGATTCTGTGAAAGACCATGCCTTTGCCTCAGTAAATAAAGTACAGGGCAGTCAAAGGACACCTGGCATCAGCCTCCGTCCTCAACATTTATGTGCTCAGATGTACATTCACACCATGTATTCACATGTGATAACACACATATGCATATGCACAGACACTATGAATGCACACACACAAGACTCTGTGTTAAGTCTCATGGTCTATAGAAATTTACAAAATACAATACAAATTGAAACAACCTATGTTTACAGAGATTGTTCAAATTTTTGTTTTTGATAGAATTTCACTGAATAGCCCAGGTTGACCTCAAAATTTTGACCCTCCTACCTAAGTGCTCAGGTTAGGGAGGAGTCTGGTGTTTGAAAGCTTTTAGAATAACCAGGTAATGGCTGTTTCTGTAAAGAAGTAATCAGAAATCTAAAGCAACAGGTACTCGCTGCAAGGCTGTTTTACTCTAGAGTTTGATAGGGTTTATGTTGATGCATTTTAAATATTGCATTCTTGTCTAACCCTCTCTACCCCATCCTCCTGACACATCCACTTTCACTAAATTATGCTAATTCAAACATCCATTACCCAAACGTAGCATAATTTCTATTTACATAGTCTTTCAAATAATCATATTAATAGTTCAAATGATATTGTTTTAGGATGCATTTGATATATTTAGAAGCATACCTGTTCAAACAGACAGATGTTTTTTTCAGCTTAACTATGTGTTAATTAAAGCAGAATTGGAATAACTATTTTTGTTACTAATTATAATGACTTCCATTAAGCAAATATATTAACATTTTTATATTTATGCTTTATTTGAGTTGATTATAATATAATGAAATTTTTTCTTGTTAGTAGATTATACAAAGTAGAAACAGAAAGTGAAGCGTTCCCATTTCAGTGGTCTTGGCCAGTCATTTGGAATGTGTGAAAGGTACTCTTTAATGAACTGGGCCTCTGAAATTTATATTTACTAATTATTAGGTTACATATTTTAGTTTTTCTGAAATACTTTTATGGTTAGGTATTAACTCTACAATAACTTATACTATTTATTAATAGGACTGAGTATTTGGAATATGTTATGGTGCCACTGTGTTGAGAAATACAGAAATAGGCATGACTGCCTAAAATGATAAAAGTCAAATAACAAAGGTAGAAAATAAATATATATGAAAAGATTCATGAAGTAAAACTTAAATCCACAAAATATACGTACCTCACAGTTTTATGCTGAAATTGATTCAGCTCTCAGAAGGTGCCCTCACCAGTAGTGGAAACATCCATAAACTTAAGTGAAATAGCGTTGTATTTCTCATGGATAAACTGCCTGAAGATAAACATCCATAGCATTTATCCAACACTGTTATGCAACCAAAACAGAATATATAAAGTGTTCATGATTGCGTGACGTCAAGAATAAGCTATTATCTATTGATTTTTTAATTGCCTTAATTCTTACCATTCTTAAAATAGATATGTGAGTTAAGATTACATGTAGCACACCATATTGTCCATTTTATGCCCTAAAAACATACTGTATCTGAACATAGTGTCCAGAATATCTCCAGAATATCCATCAAATATAAAAGAGCAGTTAAAGAAAGTATGTTGTAAATAGTGAACTCATATATGCTTACTAGAAGATATACTATAGAGCAAAATCTACTTAAGTGCTGCTGTGAATATAACAAATATAAGAAAGAAGGCACAAAACATGTGAATACATCATTGCATCCATGGCATTGCACAAGCTTTGTTCCCATCACATATACTCACAGTGTGAGAAAGAGATTAAAGACAATGCACTTTATTTCTGAGTGGTAGGATTGTGAATGATTTTGCTATTTGAAAATTTCAGTGTGTCTACAGTTCACATTGAGCAGGTATTACACTTGTAGAGAAAACACTAACTACATGCATAGAGGAATGAAAATGTTATACTTTGAATAAGATTAACCTTTTTAATATTTAACACATTATTCCTGTAATGGGAAGAAGACAGATAGAATAGACACTATGGATAAGTTAATCCTAAAAAGACTTAATCACTTCTCAGATAAGAAAAATAAGCTTACATTTGAAGCAAAGTAAGAGATATTTAGACACTTGCATTCCATCTCTTGAGAGGCAGAGGCAGGAGGATTGCCATGAGTGCATGGTCAGCCTAGACTGCACAGTGAGATTCTGTCTCATGAGGCAAAAACGTAGACATTCACTTATAAATTGAAATTTTACTGTAGCACCATGCACCCAGTTTGCTTACATTTCAGACTGCCCACTCTTCATAGCATGCTCTCTGACTGAGGGTCAGCACTGCTTCAGGCATCTGTTAGAGGTACGTTTGTTAATCCTCGTAGCACATGAAGTTTGGTTTTTATTTCGTGCTATAAGAATGAAATGGCAGGCGGATCTCTGTGAGTTTCAGGACAGCCTGGTCTACAGAGCGAGTTCCAGGACAGCCTCCAAAACAATACAGAGAAACCCTGTCTCGAGAAACCAAAAAAAAAAAAAAAAAAAAAAAAAAAAAAAAGATGTTTCCAGGTGCATAGAGAGGAATGCATTATTCTGTTGAGTAGGTAACACAAGCTGTGCTGCTACAACTATGAAAAGTCTCAAATCTAACCTTAAGTATAAACACTGCTCCTGCTCAATGGCAAAACAGGTAAAGTTGCTTCTTTGGACAATTCAAAAAGCCACTTTGAATCATAGAATCTCCTTATTTTATGGGAATTACGGTATTCATGTTTTGAAATGATTATTTGAAGACAATACTAATAGAATATTTTTCATTATAATTTTGAATTTGAGTTTATATAGGGATAGAAGTGGTTTTTTTCCAGTTGTTTCTTCTCTTTTAAAGCAGAGGAAGGAAAAAAAAGTGTAGTATGTTTGGGAAAAAAAAGTACATCCTCTTCCCAACCCAAGGAAAGCTTACACTATGGATTGAACATGGGCTTCCAAGATCAAGTCATGGTTGTATTGACATTTCTGCTACAGTGTGTTTCAGAAATGTCGTGTTCCTTATTTTCTAGCCATTTTAATCTTAGATATATTTTTAAGAAAGCATTGTGGTGTATTTGGTTAGAAATATAGTAGTATACAAAATCTACCTCAGAAAAAGATACTTGAACAGGTACTTGTTGAGGTTTATAGTTATGGCCACCCTTCTCAGTGAAGTCATAGATCAGTGTTCAATGGTTGCAAACAGGTGGCAGAAATGTAATAAGTCAAAGT